TTCAGGGCCAATGAGGTTCAGATGTCATCTGCATCTAAAAAATTCCAAGAATTCAAAGGGCAATTGCAAAAAAAATTCAACTAGAAACACCTGAAACACCATAAGATTACCTACTGGGAATGTGTAATGGTATGTGGGAAAGAAACTGGACTCAAAATTTATTGGCTCTTTCCCAGTGATTAAGCAAATAAACTCAGTAGCATTCCATTTGCAATTGCTAGTGAAAAAGGCACCCTCTACACTTTGTATTCACAGACAGCACCCTCCTCCCCATACTGGTAAACTGGGAGGAAGAATACGAGGTGGGAGCACTGCTAGACTCTAGATGCAGTGGGAAGCAGATTGAATACCTGATACACTGGAAAGGCTACACAGAGTCAGAGAGGTCATGGGAGGCAGCAACAGACATGCATTGGCCATAATTAGTGCACCACTTTCATGACCAATACCCTAACAAACCCTGTCCTTGACAAAGACCAGCCTTGCAGGAGTCTTGCACTGACCACAATGAGCAGGAGGAGTTCTTCTATGGGGTAGAGGACATTTCAGGGATAGCAAGAGACCAAGGAGGGGGCATGGGAAATGACCTAGCTCCTTTCACATCAGGCATACAGGTCATGGGGGGGAGACCAACAGATTCTGGATGGAGGGGCGGTGATCACCTCTACAGGCAAAGCTGAGTTACAGGATGCCTCATGTGATCTCAGGGAGTTGCCAGTAGAAGAGGGGAGCAACACAGCTACATTTCACTCTCACAGCCCACAGTCTCCCCCATGAACTCGGGGGGGGGTGAGTATGAAGGGGAGTGTGAAGAGTGATATGTGGGAAAGACTTTGAGAGACTGGGCAAAGAGATTCTGGGAATGGTCAGATAAGAGACAGCAACACCCGCAGCTGGATAGTGGGCAGGGCATGAGGCTCAGAAGACACCCTCCTTAGTTTCTTGGGCTGTAAAGGAGACAGGGTGGGGGGAGAATTGTACTTTCTGACTTGCAAGATTCTGTCAATGTAGCTTTACAATAAAGTAGAGTTAGCTCATCTGATTATGATTCCTATGTGGTTTACCCTGCAAGGCCAACAGAATGGCCTTTGGGATTCTATGCTGATGTCACAATCAATTAGAAAAATTCATTGAACTTTTACTACTGAGAATATATTTTATTTATTGTTAAGCTGCATTTAGAGGGAGGGAGGGAGGGAGGGAGGGAGGGAGGGAAGGAAGGACTTTAGAGTTCCTGCTCCCTCAAATACATTTTGTTTGCAATTTGTTTTTGAAATACAGGTTTAATATCTCATCTGCTGATTAATGGCCAAAGCCATATGGTCCCTGTAAAGGCAAATGAGCTGAACTATTACTGCAGATGACTTTCCTTGATAAGTCTCTGTATAAATTAACCTGTTTGCAATTGGCATTTCTTTCAATGGGCACTTCCTTATCTGTAAACCTTATGATACTTCCCTAGACTCCAAAGAAAAAGCTATCCAAATTAAAGCAGCAAAGAGATTAAGATAAGAATAGTCATGATGACAGCAGGACTAACAGAGCCCACCTGAGGTAATAATACTTGCCAAGAGTAGAATCACCATCCTTTGGGATCTGAAACTTGGGAATCAAAGCTGACCTTACACAATCCATTTTGGATTGAGATTGAGCACTTTATCATTGAGATAAATAAGATAAATATATCTTATCTTTATCTTATAAATAAATAATGATAACTTAATTTATCATTGAGATAAATAAGAGATTTTAAATAATGTGCTCTTAAAAGCATATATTATTTTCTCCATCATAATTAACTTCTTTCTATCTGTATTCCTTCCACCTCAGATTAGTAATCTGAAGTAGTTTGGCTTTTCATATATTTTGAAAAAGCATTCTTTGTATCAGGAAATCATAACCATTGTTCATTTTCATATATGTTGGCATGATATTATAGGGGCCACCTAAAATAATAATACCAGATTAGTTCTAATATTTTGTGTTACTTTCATGAGAATTGGTCAAAACAAACTATTGATAGGCATCAAGAAGATGCAATGTAAAGATGGGTGCATCTTGGATAAGAAGTGAAGAATCATATAGATGTTTAGAAGTGGAGATAACAAGTAATTTTGGCCACCATTAAATAAAAGTGCTCCTGTTGGCTGATGGCTGTGCTTTGGTACAAAATATTAATTACAGCAACTAATTACATTAAGTACAGCAACAATTGCATCAACTGGTTTTCTTAGCAAGAAAATATACCTTAAATGCTTGGCATATTTAACTGGGAGCAAGTCATATATACATATGTCACTTTGTGTCAAACGGGCAGCTATATAAATACCATAAATAAATAAATAAATACATATATAGTGGAAGGAAAGTTGAACAGAATCAGTAACAATATGGAAAGAAACATGTTCAAAATGTTTGTTTTACAAACAAAATGAAAAATGTAGAAACTACCTCTCCAGATATATTTCTAATGTTTTATGTAACTGCTTTCATACAATTTCCTTTTATTCAAAAGATAAATGATTTATTTTTAACAATGTTTTTAAAAGAAAAATAAACAGCTTAATGCAGATAAAATATAAACGATTCCAATTTTTACACTCTCAAAATAAAGTTGATAAGAACTTCAAAAGATCCATGCTGAATTAAACCAAAGACCTGAATAGACAGTCAATGGTTTATGCTACTTTGAACATCTTATTTTTCTGTAAGGTATAATAGTAACAATTTTTTAAAAAAAATTAAAAGTACTTACATTCATAAAGCAAGAGTGCCCTCTACAGTTGCAGAAGTATTAGGCCAAAATGCCCTTTTTTTCTATTTAATTAATGAAAGCAGGAGCAAATCCCAGTCACAAAAAATAGGAGGATTAATAAAAATATTATTGTGCATATATTTATAGATGTATTTATATATGTATATAAATGTGTGTGTGTTGATGCTGTAGTATTTGCATACAGTGTAGTAAAATTTAGAGATAAATGCATTCATAGGAAGTCTTTCCTGGGAGGTAAGTTTCACTGAACTTAATTAATGCATATGAAAATACTATTAATTTGTGTATTTAATCTATCCTATTAATATATGCCTAAGATAAATTCAGAATGTGATTTTCAGAAACATACCTCTGTTTTTTATTAAATATGATTTCTGATACTGAATGGATTATATTGAGATTTTACAAGGAAGAAATTGTACTGTTCTGACACTTCAGATAGCAATTTAGAGTCATAGACTCAGCATGTATACAGTAATTCAGTGGCATTGACAGCAGCTGTTCACATGGCTTCACTTTCAAGGACAACTACAGTCAGTTGTTTTGTTTTTTCCCTAGAAGAGGAGGAGGAAATATGTCTTGTGGGTTTACATTCCATGGAATTTATCTGAAAATTTAACCAGCACCAGAGGCAGGATATCAGAACAATGGAAAAAGGTTATTGTTATTGTGTTTGGTTGGGAAATTCAGTCAACACAGGCTGGGGATGAGCAGAATCATAGCCAACACATCTGGATGATACCTTTTCACATAATAAATGCAGGGAACTTTAAAGCACCCTTGATGTAGTCTCTAAATCAGTGTTTTCAAACTTGGCAACTTTAAGATGTGTGGACTTGAACTTGCAGAATTTTGTTGCCAAGTTTGAAAAACACTGTACTAAAGAAAAACAATATAATCTTCTTTCAAAGAGGCTGCTTTTAAAAGTGTCCAGTCTCTAGTACATTCTGGAAGTTGAAATCCACACATCTTAAAGTTGCCAAGTTTGAAAAACACTGTTCTAAATCATCCTCAGCTGTGCCTCAAATAACACAATACTTTTCTTCGTTTGGGGGTACATTTCTACTGAAGTACAGTATCATACCTTTGCTATTCAAAATCCGCATAAAAAAAGAACTACCTGTATCTTGAATAATTCCTTCACTAGAAATAGATTTTACATACTGAATTACTTCCTGCTGTTTAAGAAAATTTACCTCCTGACCCTACACATACCCACTTCAAAGGAAATCCATACAGTTAATAGTACTATATGTACACGCGACATTTAACTGAACTCAACTTCTCATCGACTTCTTAAAAAGCGCCGACTGTACTGTATTCCGGCCCTCAAAGTCATCATCCAATAAGCATTGTCCTTTCAAGTTAAGGAAAGGAGACTTACCAGGGTTTGAAATTTATTTTTTCCTGCCGCTTGATTGGCTAAATGAGGAAGCTTTCGCGAGGGGTGGGGTATCAGCCCGCGTTCTCGAATCAGCTGAGGGTTTCCTTTTTAAACCGTTGGTGACGGCAACTTTTTGGCGGGAATTCACAGCACTGAGGTAGGGGGGTATCCTAGCAACACGGAGAGCGGGAGGGAAGTTTCTGTTTGGCGTTCTTTTCTGCATTTTGGACTAAAAACGTTTTTATTTTCTCTTCCCTAGTGTTGCTACTTGAGCCTTTTATAATTGAGCCTCTGAGCATGTTCTGAGTTTCCCTTGCACACGGGGGACAAACATGCTTTGAACACTTCTATTTTATTGATTTTAGGATAGAGGCTTCCTTTAAAGCTATTAAAGTATTTCCGTTAACAGAAAAAGAAGAAAATACGGGGAAGCCAAATTAGCAAAGAAATTTTAAAAGCCGTATCTAACATTTATCAATTTGTTCGGGCTAGTTATGTGAAAGAAGCCTTCGGCTTCTTGAAAGATACGTTCTGAGGGGCTTGTGCGTGAAGCCAGAACTTCCGCTACTTCTAAGGCACCGCCCCCAGTTGCCCAACCCGCCCCATCACGGGTTAAGGAACACGATTGGTGGATCTTTCTCCCGCTAGCAGTGACGCTCTAGGAGAGGAGAAAAGAAGCCGGGAGGAATCGGCCAATGGCTGCCCTCCAATTGTCCCCTGTAGCAACTAAGCGGAGCCCCTGGTTACAGAAGTCGTGTAAGGATCAACCAGGAGAGTCGAACGAGTTACCCCCGTTGGCTGTTCTGTGAACTCTAGGACTGATGGAGTGAACTATGCCGCAGCCATCTCGGTGTCCCCCTAGAATTAAAGCTTGGCATATTTTTGTGAGTGAAGCTGCAAGCAGAGCTCCGCAACTGATGAAAAAAATCCGAATTCTGTTCCGACCAACAAATTTTATGAGTAGGCATAAGCTTCGGTGAGCTTACCACCATAGACTAACACGACTCTCCTCCCACAGCATCTGATGACGCGAGCTACAGCTGCCGAAAGTTTATTCCTTTTCATAAAATCTGCTGGTCGGAAAAGGTGCTAGCAGACTCCTTACACGTTCTGTTATCTCTTTCTCACACTTTATCACCCACAGATGATGTTTTTTTAATGGCTTTAATAGTTTTTATTGTTTTAATGGTTTCTGTTATGATTGTAGTTATTTTTGAATTTTTTGTGTTTTTAACTCTGTAAGCAGGCCAGAGTCACTTATGTGAGATGGGTGGCTATATAAATTGGATAAATACAAATAAATTCTGCTGCTTACTATTTCTAATGCTGCTCAGGCTGAAAAAGAATAGTATGATGGGAACCTATACATGTGACATTCCCAGGGTAGCTAAATGGTAATAATTTGGGTTGTGTAGTACTTAGATTTCATTCCAAAAAAATGCTTTGGAGCAGGTAAGAATTGTTTAAACAGCTGCATCTTCTTCTGGGATCACAGGGCTACCTTCTGCAGCAGGTGTGTGATTCCAGGAAAAGGCATGATTGCTTTAAAGAACTGCAAATAAGTGCTATGGTTGTAGTTTTGCATGATTAGAAGCAGCCTTCTGGAATTAAATTTGATGCACAGCACAGCCCTAATTAAATATTCAAATAATAAAATCAACTTGATAAAAGTTCTTCATATCAGTTTCCTATTTAAGCTGAACCTATATAGTAAAATAAACAAGCTCCATGCTTCTCCCAAAATTTATTTTATCTAAAGTTACTATATTTCTGTTTCCTTCTCCCATCTATTGTATTCTTACAACTAATTCTAACAAAACATTTAGAATTCTTTGACTGCTTTACTTACTCCTTTTTCAAAAAGGATCAGCCAAAAATCATTTCCAAGGCAATCCTATGACTTTTATTCAGACAAAAGTCCTTTTTTGTTGTTCAATGTACTCTCATGGAGGCATGCAATATGTATAGAACAGCAGTCTAAATCACTGTCATTCAAATGTTTTACTTTTTATCATTCTATCACATGCTTCTCTTTGTATCCCTAAGTTGGTTTCAGTGGCTCCTGGACCTAATGCATGTTTGTTGCTTTTACCATCAAAATCTCAGCAGTGCTCTGTGTTATTTTTCTCATAACTCAGTATATCTATCCTAGTCTTTATCCTAGATACACTCCTCTCTCTTTTCATCACGGTAGCCATTCAAAGATCACCAGGTGATCTATAACTACAATTCTGCCCTTCCTCCCTTATGCTAATTGCTACCTTGCAGACTGTGTATCCCTCTCCTCCTGTTCTTATTTTAATTTGAACTTTTAGAGGAAATCCAGATTTTAATGGGCCTAAGCATTAAAAAGTAAACAACTAGACATGTAGCAATCCTATTTACCATAGTTATTTGTGGCTAATTGTAAACAGTCTTTCCAGATATTAAATTGTTCTTATGTATGGAAAAGGAAATTAATGCGGACATCCTATGATAACTCATGCAATAAATGTGTTGATGGCATAAAAATATTTTCCTACAATCTTTCCTTGAGATGTGTGCAATGCAGGTAAATGAATTTGACTCATCAGATGAGGAGCCCTTGGAAGAAGAACATACACCTTTTCAAGTATCCTGGTAAGACTAAAGGTGTTGGAGTAAAAATAGAGTAAATCACCTGTAGAATTTTTTGGAGCAACTTAATATTCTGTCCACATCTCATTAATATATTTATTGTCTTTCTTAATTTACTCCATATTATATAAACGAGATGCCACTGTTTAATTTTCTGCCGTCTCATTTAAGTGACAGCATCTCTTCTGAACACCATTTATTTATAACAATTTCCATTCTGCTTCTTTCCAAGAATTCAAAGTAATAACATAGCCCTCTACTCATCTTTTCAATAAATTGACTACAAATATAGAAGGAATAGAAGTTAATTAACTTGCCCTGCTTCTAACATTCATGTTAAGATGGCCTGTGTTTGAATAGAAATGTATATGTATAAGCCTTTTATGTACAAATGGCACCTCTAGTGTGATTAGGAATATTGATTGTGAGTGTGGGACCATGAACTTACAGCTATATATACCTAGATCCCATCCCAAAATTGTGGAATGTAGAATGAGGTGACCAATATAATATTGGTCTTCTATTGGTCTAATATTAACCTTCTATTGATCTAATATTCTCCTCTATTGGGACCAATATAATCCCCCTCTATGCATTCAGTGTACATGTAAAAATTAAGATGAAAGTAGTGTTACAGAGTTGTAATCACAGCCTGAATGTTTAAACCCAGTATAATTATCTACGTATTTAGCTCTCCATTTCTTGGATGTGATTTCTGATGCTTATAAAAATGTCACATACTTGGGGTAAATATGTTCACTAAGCTACTTTTCCATGCCTAACAGATACTTATTACTCTTTTCCATAAATAGAATCATAGAATGTAAAGACTGGAAGAACTCTGGAGATTGTCTAGCGCAGGAGTCCATTGCTACAGCATCCATGTCAGATAATCGTTCAGTATCTTCCCTTCCAGTAAACGGGAGACCAGCAGTTCCTGAGACAGTCTGACCCATTGTTGAACAGGTCTTTCCATTAGGAAATATTTTGGTGCCCAGCTGAAATCTATTTCAATGTAGTTTAAATCCATTCTTATCTTCTGGAATAACTCGGAACAATTCTGTCCCATCTTCTATATGACAGCCATTCAGATATTTGAAGGCAGTTACCATGATTCCCTGCAGTCTTCTGTTCTTCAGGCTGAACATATCCAACCCCTTCAACCATTTCTCATATGTTTTCTCTTCCAGGCCACTTATCATTGTAATTGTTTTCCGGTGAATCCACGGCAGCTTCTGCATACTGTAATGGATGAAATATTCTAGGTGTGGTCTGAACAATGCAGCATAGGATGAATGATGACTTTTCTTGATCTTGGCACTTTACTTCTACTGATGCAACCTAGGACTGTGTTTGCTTTCTTGTAGCTGCATCACACTCTTGGCTCATGGTCAGCTTGTGATCCACCAAGACACTCAGATCCTTTTCACATGTATTGCTGCCTGGTATGGTCTAATCCTAACCCTATACCCACGCCTTTGATTTTTCCTATCCAAATGGAGGACTTTATATTTGTCATTGCTGAAATTCATCTTGCAGATGCTTGCCCAAAATTTCAACCTACAATTCTCCTGAATCTTGATACTGTCCAATAAGGTGTTTGTGGATGACACAAAGAAGGGGTGGCAAATTTAATCATTGTAGTTTGGAACTCCACATCCAAATATGCTGAACAGCCCAGGGCTTAGAGTGGAATCTTTCAGGACTCTACTTGACACTTCTTCCATGACTTGATGCTGTCATTTATGTACAAGTGTTTGATACAATTATTCAGCTAGCTCTGTATCCATCTAATGGTAGCATATCCAGCCAGTGTTCTGACATCTTCTTTCCTAGAATCTCATGATAGATTTCAGTGAATGCTATTCTGAAGTCAAGCTTTCTATGTTCACTGCATTCCTGTGGTCAACTAAATTCATCATACTATCAAAAAGAAGATAAGGTTGGTTGGCATGATTTATTTTTGTTAAACCCATGCTGGCTCCTGCCAAGCAATGCATTCTTTTCTAAATACTCACAAACCAATTGCTTAATAGCTTCCTCTGGAATTTTACCTGGTATTCATATCAAGCTAACTGGCCTGTAGTTACCCAAGTCCTGTTTTTTCTCCTTTTAGAAGATAGGAACATTTGCCCTTCTCTGGCACTATGCCCACCCTCCACAATTTCTGAAAGATCATAGAAAGGGGCTTAGAGAGGCTTCTTGGAGAGCCTTGAAAGTAATTGATCTAGTCCTGGAGATGTAAACTCTGGTAGCCAGGTACTCCCTAATCATCTCTACTTACCTTGAGTTGTCACTCCTACTGCCAATTTGAACAGTTTCTTTTGAGAAAAAGACCAAAGCAAAGTAGGAATTAAGGAGCTGTGCCTTCTCCCTGTCACCTTTCAGTATCCTACCATCCTCCCCTAGCAGCAAGCCCAATTTTAGAGAATATGCAAACTGAAATAATCATATTTCACATTAGAATTTGAGGGATCTAATTTCCAAAGAAATGACGTGAATATACTGATTCTTGGTTGCATGTTTGTTACATACACAAATTTTCCACTTAAGAAACTCTTATCTGTGGGATTAGTGAGAAAATTTATCAGTACGCTCTTGTATATTTATTTTATTAGTCAAATAAAATCACAGCACTCTCAGCAGTTCATAAAGTAAAAAAAAAAAAAATAGGACAAATAATACTCAAACAGAGTGCATGGCATCAGGCCCCCAAAACTATCTGGAAAAGCTCTTTCTTCAGCTTTTTCTGGAAGGCTGACAGTGTTGGAGACAGACTGAATCTCCAATGGGAGGTCATTCTAGAGGACCAGCCCCATTATTAAAAAAAAAAAATGCTTCTGGGCTTTAGCCCCCCAACCTCCTAGAAATGGGAGACACCAGCTGTTTCTCCTGGTGTGATTGAAGTGGTTGGGCTGATTCTCGTGGGGAAATGCAGTCCCGCAATAACTAGGCATCAAGCCATAAAGGGCTTTATAGATAAAACTAGCACTTTAATTTGCATCCAGAAGCTAACACGAAGCCAATTTAGGGCACAAAACTGATGTAATACATGCTCAGCAGTCCATGCCTATGAGCACCTGGGCCACTGCATTTTGCACTAATTGAAGCTTCCAGATGGTTTTTAAAGGCAGCCCCATTTACAGTTGCCTAACTGGGTGGTGTTGGAGGTGTGAGCCACTGTAGTCGGGTCCTCTCATCCCAAGTAAGGCTGCAACTGGCACAACAGCCAAAGCTTCAGCAAAGGCCTCCTGGCCACAGCTTCCACCTACTGATCCAGCAGGACTTCTAAGCCCAGGAAGATGCTCCTTCAGGGGCACTGCAACCCCATTCAGATATAAAATACGGGGTGTGGAGGATCCCAGTGTATAAACCGTAGCTCCATCTTGCTAGGGTTTAGTCATATGTCTTGAGAGCAAATGCAGTAGATAAAAATGTCAATTTGTAAGAGAACTTACTATTGGGTTTTGGGCTTTTTTCCTGTAGGTTACCCTTATCACCAGCTTATTCCCAATCCCTAGGAATCAGCTCACTACCAGGTAAGTGCATAGAAGTGGCTAAAATCAATCCATGGATGTTTTATATTTATAGTATTTATATTTATAGTATTTGTTTTAACCTTAATAGCCATGTTTGTTTCTTTCTTTTTCCTCTTTCTTGCTTTAGGTTGCCGATTCAAAAGTATTAGAAGAAGCCTTCAGAAAGACATAGGTAATTATATATCATAATTATATATTATGATATATATATATATATAATTATATATAATGGCAGAGAGATATGTCCTTTAAAAACTTAATTTTCATGAGTTTAGTTTTTATGCCTTGGAACTGCAGTTAACCATTTGCTTGTGTAAAGGACTTGTATCTCACTTATAAACCTATATCACTGTTGTAAGAAACATAAAAATATATTAGTACAAATCCAAACAAACAAAATGAGGAACAGAACTCCATGAGGCAACTGCATTAACATATGGCATAAAAATATGCATCCTCACACCTGAAAGTAGACTAGACACCAGGTGAAGCATCCTGGGAGAACATCTCCAGCTGGAACATGGAGATTCTCTCTGTTAATCACCTAGTTAACATCTGATGACTTGGGCAACTGGAGAAAAAGTCTCAAAAGCAAAACATAATGCACAGGCAAGTTCATATAGCAATCTTAATTAAGGTATGAGCTTTAGTGAAATAATAGATTGGTTAGTCAAATAACTGCTTTGCATGGGAAAAGTGTGCTTCTAAAATACACATTATATTTAAGACTTGGGAAATCTTTAACCCTGTAGATCAGTGTTTCTCAAGCTTGGCAAGTTTAAGATGAGTAGACTTCAACTTCCAGAATTCCCCAGCCAGCAAGGAGTTGCTGGGAGTTGAAGTCCACCCATCTTAAACTTGCCAAGCTTGAGAAACACTGCTCTAGATGTTGGTAATCTCTAGCATCACTTATCACTGACATTATTAAGTGCAACTGCTAGGAATTAAGATTCACCAAGAGACAAGGCTGTAGGTTTTCCTTTATTTGCTTTATTTAGATGGTGTGGTTTTGTAAGATATAATTTACTACCTGAAATTTTTCTACGTTATTTTAAAAATAATGTAAGCATGTTAAGAATTTTCTCCTGATTACTTGGAACATCTTTTTATTGATTAATATTTTAAATCTAATGATCTAACCATGTGCTCAGTAAATATTGCTGTCCTACTTTTCTTGTATCTGCTAACAGAATGAAATAACAAAATAGCAGATTTCACAACAGAATGCAATTTCTATTGCTAAAATTAGGGAAGCTTAAGTCTGACATCTTTAGTTTGCCTAACAATTAGATCATGATATTCATATTAAAACTGATGGTAAAACCACTTAGAAAAGTTTGCAAATTAAACTTTTCTAACTGGTTTTACAATCAATTATAATATGAATATCATAAATATTATATATGGATTCAGATTTGTATTTAATTTAGCACTTTAACAAATATGTAACTTGGCTTCTGTGCAGATGAACTAATAGGTTACGGGGTGCTGGATGTATTTGTACTCTGTACCAAGGGAGAACTCACAAAGTACCGTGTCCCACACCTCATGGAGACATACCAGAATTATGGGATCACTGTGCATCACCATCCTATTCCTGATGGAGGTACACCAGATATTGCCAGATGCTGTGTTATTCTAAATGAACTGAGGAACTGCCTTGAATGTAAACGAAAAACCATAATACAGTGAGTTCTGATGTTCTAGTCCCTTATCCTCTTTCAATAAATGGAAGTGATTCAATCACTAAATGTTTGGCTGCAATCTCTGTGCCAAAATTAGACTTCTTTTTGCTGCAGTCAGCTTCTTCTGTTATCATTCCAAAATGTAGATCAGAGATACATAGCTTGGGGCTTCAGGGTTGCATATACCCTATACTCTCAATAGCCTGGGGTTTCCAGAATTTTACAATATTGTTATTTTTATGAGACTTTGGGAGAAATTATTAAATTCATTTACTAATCATATTAAGTATATTTAATTCTGATTAAATTTTAATGTAAATTGAGTTTTTGATCTGATTTCAGCCACTATGATTTGGACAGTAATCCTGCATACCAATTGAAGTTTAAATATGTCTCTTGGCTTGGAAAAACTTGTCCTCCCTGTCTAGATAATCTTATATCAAGAAAATTCCACAACTGAGTTTCTGGGAGGGAATGGAAGAAGGGCAGTGAGGTTGTAAGACATTTTAAAAATGGGGTAGGGGAGTAGGGGTTATACTAATGTTAATTATACTTTTTTCTGCTATATATCTAACGAACTTTAGAGTTGCACTGAAGACTAAAATGCCCAGTTTCCTGTTCAGATACTGAACAGTCCCAAAGTAACTTAACTTTGACAGTTTCACTACCATAAAAAAATACTATTCTAGAATATAAGATGATGAAAACTTATTGTGAGAAAGTTGAGAAGCGCCCATTATCAATAGTCCTAGAAAAAAAGAACATTGCTTTTAAGTTAGGCTCTGGAAGAGTAGATCCACCTGAAAACATGTGTATGAAGGAATGTCATTCACAGCAGATTTAAAAAACATGATCTTGGTTATGGAGTTTGTCATGTTTACAACTATTGCAATATATTCATTTAAAAAAATATATTTTTTTGTTTCAGTTGTTATGGAGGACTTGGACGATCCTGTCTCAGTAAGTGAAATGCTCTTTATAAAAATTGCAAAGTATTGATTTCCTTAATATTACTGGTAATATTCTGCAATGTGAATTCATCTAATCACAAAACTATTTTCTCTACATAGCAGGCAGAATATTCTCCTGCAATACACAAAGCCTTATTCCAGAACCAAAAACCAAAGCTCTCTTTAATCTCTCACAGCCAACAGCAGGCTCATATCAGTTTTTAATAGCAACAGATTTCCCTCCCAGTTTGAAGGAGATAACCACCTAAATTGTTTTCTGTAATTATAAAAAGAACTATCCTTTTTTTTAAGCTGGTCATGAGAAGCTAGAGTATTGTACACTAGGTGCATACACACATACTGAAAAATGGGAAAGTAAATGCACACTATGACTTTTATCAGGAATTCTTTGATATAATACTCATTCAGCGAATATGATGAGGGTTTTGGCAAGCCTAAAAAATTCATAGATGTGTTGTGGCAAAAGTTTCAAGAGCGAAGCTGAAGCCCTATCATGATACCCATGACACTAATGTGACATTGGACACTTCCCTTAGTGCTTGTGCCTACCTGACTCCCTTTTTAAAAAATTAATGTAAAAAAAATTTCACAGGAAGGTTACATGCTACAAAACAAGTGCCAGCATCTCACATTGTTGTTTCCAAGAATGTCTGGTGTACTGTAAAATAGGAAAAATATTAATCTGTTATTTCTGTGCTGACCTCTAGTTTACCCACTCTCTAGTGGTCTAGCAAATCTCCCTCTCATAGCTTTTACTGTATTTTCAATAATAATAAAGTATAATCAAGAGAAGGAATGTGAGCATTTTTCCCACAATCCTACATACTAGGGTGTCTGCAGGGTAGGGTAGTCCAAAAAAAAAAAAAAATTAAGATGGTCCAACCATCTTTTAGGGACTTGGATCTCATGATTGCAGTGGCTATCTTCACTTTTTGACAACCACCCCCTGTGGACACTCCTGCTTACATAGAAGCCATGCTCTCTCAATCCAGCTAGCCCTGCTACTATGATAAATCCCTGTTAAAACTATGTATGTACAGAGGATTTGAATTCTTGTTTCAGGGCCTACATTTAATATGCCTAGTCTACATGAATGCTGTCACTGACATTTTCCAAGATAGCTGACATGTGGAAACCTGAAAATCCATGAATAAATGAATTAAGGAATCTTTAAATGTTATGTTACCTTGTTTACCTTTTAAACAGGTTATTCCTCCTCACTAAAAATCTCTTGCTCACTTAGGTTATTGTATTGTTTCTTTACAGTAGCAGCTTGCCTTCTGCTCGAGATATCTGACACCATAGACCCACAGCAGGCGATAGACAGCATGAGGGAGTTGAGAGGTTCAGGTGCAATACAAACTCTAAAGGTTAGACATGCCAAGGGAGAAGCAGAGCTTAAAAGATGCTTCTTAATTTATTTATTTACTCTATTTCTGTACCTCTGTATTTGCCAACGCTTCATAGGATACTTGACTGTAGACATTTTGCTTGGCAGGAAGTCTTTTCTGGATTAAATGCACTACACTTGCCCTCAGGCCGCAGAGCAAATCCACTACTGCTGCTGGGTCCCCCTTGATATTATTAAACCTTTTATTCTTTAACACATACCTTGCCCTGCGTTCATTTTTCCTGCCCTTAGTGTGCTTGTGTCGTTACTGTTTAACGAACGGCGTAACTGTTGCTTCTATCTCATTACAGTAGGCTGCTTTTCAGCCAAACACTTAACCATAAATTATTTAGCTTTCCTCGTTCTGCATGGTTGGGTTTGCACAACACAAGACTTAATTAAAATGGGATTGGGTAGTTTATAATTCAGCAGCTTATCAGAATCAGGACATCATTTTGCCAGACCTTCTTAATAGTGGCACCTCTTCTGGGGAACTGCTTGCCCTACATATAAGATCTCCTCCTTACTGAGTGGGGGGCAATGGGTGGGTAGGGCTCTTTTATAATTTGCCTGTGCTGATTAGGGCTACAGGCAGTCCCCAAGTTAAGAACAAGTTCTGTTCCTAACTCTTTAACTCGAACTTGTACATAAGTTGGAACTCATACTTACAAATGGACTGCCTGTTACTAAAAATGGCGGATGCCATTGTCTTTCCTTGAGCCGACAAACCGCTGAAGCCACGCAATGCTTTCGGGAACTGCTGAAATGGTTGATCAGCTTGCAGAAGGAGAACACCATCTGCCATTTTTAGTAATAGGCAGCCCATTTGTATCTAGGGGTTGTTCTTATGTCGGATGTTCTTAACCCAGGACTGCCTGTATTGTATTATATTTTAATAATTACTCTTTTGATGTTTTTAAACTCTGTTTCTATTGTTATATAATATAGAATTATATTTCTTTATTTACAGCCAAAAGACTCCACTTGGAGCCATTTTGGAGTACAGCGACAAAGAGATGCCAATAATAAATAAAAATGAATAATGTGGCTTGTTTAGACATAGCAAGTTTTAGTAACACAACAACTGTGTTCTGTGAAACTACATATTTACTGAGTTTCCTTGCTTTACTCTGAACTGTGCGTGCTGGGAATGAGTACTGTGAAGTATTTTTTTTTTCCTCAGAAGCAGAGAATTGCCAAAATTAAGCATTTTCCAGGGGGAGGTAGGGAGAATCCAGGGGACTATCTTCTCCAACCCAGTTCAGCTGATAATGGAAAATATTATAGAAACCTGTTCTCTGATAAGAATATCTACACATTCAGAGGAGAGGAGAGACCTTTTGATAGAGAGTTGGAGAATGGAAATCTATTCTATCCTCTTTTTCTGTGGTTCTCCACTCATTTCAACCATATCATTAGAAAATGTTAAGTCATCCTAATGCTGAAGTCTGTCCATTCTGAATAATGTGTTTTTCTTTACAGCAATACAACTATCTTCATGATTTTCAAGAGACCTTGGCTGCCTATTTGGCAACAGAAAGTGCAATAACAAGATCAGTATCCCGATAAAATAACTTGAGTTTAGTTACCACTTGAAAGTATATATTGCATTGTTTTTACTTTGTACACATAGTGGAAAATAATTTTATTAACTGCCTGCCAGTATCTCCTTGACAAGTCACACATGAATAACTGCATAGCACAATGAGTATGAATAAAGTTCCATCTGTGGATTGTATTTTTAAAACATCAAATTATAGCATGCAGCAGAATTCATAATAAATATGATTTTTAATCTCTCTTTACTGTAAACTCTTTCCAGTTCCTATCTAGTTTTCTCTGCTATGATGGAGGATATTTTTGTTGTAGTCCTGTCTACAGTTTATGGGAAAGTCTATATAAGAGAATCTCATTATCTTAATAATGTGGCAGTGCCAGCTTTTTGGTGGGGTATGTCATAGGACACTAGAAACTGAAGGCATTGTGGATTGTGTTTCACATGTGTTCCCTTTTCAATTCATGTGTCCCTGTACCCATGCCTATTACCATGGCAAACCAGATGTTTGCTCACAAATAGAGATGTTCATGAACTAAGGTTTTGCTTGTTTCCTGGTAAAGCAATTCATACAGTCTCCCTTAAAGCAGAGTAACTTTGTAGTCAAGTTGTCCCAGCCCGTCATCTGAAAGAGCACTCTATCATTACTACAACTAAGTACCAACCAACCAGGATATTTATTTTCAGGATTAGCAGTCCAACCTACTACTTAAAACAGGAAATGGCAAAAAAATCTATTCCATAAACAAAATCTGCATGGAGCAGCATGAAATAGTTATTGTTGTACTGCTCTTTGCATAAAGAAAAATGTAGGATAAAAGACTGTTTCCTCTGTGTTCTACATGAATGTGAAACAGATATACTGCAATAGCAGCCAACTGAAATTCAAAAATTTCGACAAGACTGAAGTAGGTCTACTGCTTGAAGCAATATATGTTTGTCTACCTACAGTATTCATTAAATTTATATTCCACCACAATCTAGTGACTCTTTGCAGCTTGTGTGTTATAATATAGCAAAAAAATTTACAACATCCATGTCATGTTAAACTTCCATGGTATGGTTAAAATGAAACAACTAATCATAAAACCTCTCGAACTAAAAGTTCTAATAAAAAATAAAAAAATGGTGCAGTGCGTAAACTTAGAGGGAAGCTCTCCAAAATAATTCCATCTTTAACATAAAGTAGACAATCTTACCACAGACCAGAAGAACACAGAATCAAAACCAACTCAAAACAGAGGACAGAACAGGCCTCAAAAACCTAAAGAAGGACCAAACCATCATCGTCCTCTCAGCAGACAAAGGCCAACACGGTTATCATGGACATATCACAATACACATAAAAAGCCAAAGAATTACTGGAGGACAAATAAACCTACATCCCAGTAAACACCAACCCAATACAGAAACTAGACAACCTGATCAAGAGGGCCCTTAATGACCTAACCAAGAAAGATCAAATCACAACAGTGGTGGATGAAAAGCAGTAGACCCATCCTCCCACGCTTCTATGGATGCCCAAAAATACACAAGCCTGACATACTTCTTCATCCAATTGTATTGTTACTAGGAACCCCAATATACAACAAAGTGAAAGAACTTACAAAACTTGGATGTCTCACAGAGGGGAGTGAATATTCTATCAACTCCCCACTACAGTGCCTCCAAAAATAGATGAAGATGAAATTATGGTTTCATTCAATGTCAAGCACTCTTGACATCCACAGACACAGAACTAGTGAAAGAATCCATGGCAGCAGTACTACACAACACAACCAGCCTAACCAAATACAGTAAGATCAAAATAACCAAAATCATGGACCTCATCAACCTCTGCCTCACTACCTACTTTCAGTTTAATGGACAAATATACCAACAAATCAGAGGAACACCCATGGGATCACCGCTCTCAGGATTCATAGCAGTGCCTAGAAACTATAGCACTCCCACACATACAACCAAAAGTATGGATCCGGTATGTAGATGACACCTTCGCCATAATAAAAAAGGAACAACTAGAGAAGACACATGAAACAACCAACAACATCTTCAAAGAAATAAAATTCACAAGGGAAGAAGAAAATAACACACTACCCTTCCTGGATATCCTCACCAGCAGAGGAAATAATGACAAATTAGAAACACAAGTCTATCAAAAAACAACCCACACTAACCAAGTACTCCATTACCAAAGTAACAACCCAACCTTCCACAAGAGGAGTTGTGCAAGAACATTATTCAGAAGAGCACAAATGCACTGCAGCAACCAGAGCAACAGAAAAAGGAAGAAGAATGCCTACAGAACATCTTCCAACAAAATGGATACCCATGCAAAAAGTGCCTGATCACTCAACACACTACAGCACAAACAACACAAGTTATGAAACATTGCCATACATCAGAAACAACCAAAAGACTATTAAAACCACACAGCATCACCATAACACACAAACCAACTAAAGTCATAGTTTAAAACAGGAGTCATCTACAATATACAGCGTAAGGACTGTAACAGCCACTATGTAGGACAGGCAGGCAGAGTGCATCCATGAACACCAACTAGAAATCAGAAAACACAATGAAAACTCCTTAATCTCACAATACATGGACTCAACCATACAGGTGAAACTCGAAAAATTAGAATATCGTGCATGCT